CCAAACGATTGCGTGTAATGACTAACGGGCGAGATACTAAATATGCTGCCAAGGTTTGTAGATTTGTGGGGAGCTCTCGTTGAGCACAAATTACTTTGTTGTCGCTGGAGTTCATTAAGTTTGAGCACTCGGTCTGGAAATTACGGATTTGCTCTTTAGTGAACTCTTAGTTCAAGAGACAATTTGGCGAGCATACGTAAGCTTTCGATAAATTCTCATCAGGCCTATACATTTATATTGCAGTCGAAACGGAGTAATATGAATGTATAGGCCTCATGAGAATTTATCGAAAGCTCATGTATGTTTGCCAAATTGTCTTTTAAATTCTTCAATGGGAATTTTCGCAACTCTAGAACTCTTAGTGTTTAGAAGGCAAATATTTGTGTTGAAAAGCCTCGTCTATGTTTAACGCTGTTCTCCACTAAGAACGAAAACGTTTTTGAACAGTTTATTAGCGGAACAGACAAACCCATTTTAGTGCTTTCGTTGTTAGATAGGGAATCTGCGTTTGATCTACTTTTAATTCCAAATGTCCAAATGCTTCGGCCCACTTTGTCTGCCGCAGTTATCGTCATTCATAGTATTTCAAGTTGGAAATATCCTAACTGGGTGGTTGTGCCTATTCGCTTGACAACAGCTACAGTTCAGTTGTCCACTGAGATAAACACGATGTTGGCTTGTACCGCGAAAGCATTACAGTAGAGATTTGTGTGCTTAATCCGCCCTTTGTTTTTAGCCCTTAGTCGTTTTAAAAAACAGCTCTGTGCACCAGTATGAGACATTAACGTTGCGTAAGAATGGAGTCGGAACCGATACCTTTGTGCAACTGACTGCACATTCAGATTCCTCGCTAAGCAGATTGCCGATCACGTCATCCAGGCTAAGAGTGTAGCTTCGGGGTAGAATCACCTCGCTGCTAAACTGCCCTGTGCATTAGATGCGCCCAGGGGATAGACAATGATGAATATAGGTGAAATAGACAACCTCCCCGCGGCCCAATGGTTTCGCATAATCACGATGTAAAGGCAGAAAAAACTGATAAGGATTTTTGTAGTTTGTGACCGTACTAACGACACAGGTATTAGCTAAAAGCCCAGACACGCGTGTTTCGCCGATCTTGTGCCGCTGCGCGAGGGGTTCGGCTTATCAGTGCGTTCCCCAGCCTTCTGGCATATGAACTACAGTTTCAACTTGTCTTGTTTAATTTCTGAGGAAATAAATGCCGAACCCCTCGCAGCTGCGTCAGGCAGCGACACAAGATCGGCGAAACACGCGAGTCTGGGCTTTTAACTAGTACCTGTGTTGTCAGTACGGAAAATAATTACACACTTCTATACTACTGGCTGCTTGTTGGCGGTTTGTGAACATTGCACGGTTATTCCGCAGTAGCTGATGGATTTCGGCTCAAATATTCTTATCAAACTTCGGATCACGCCCGAAAAGGTTTGTCCCGAAGGATTTACTCCGAGTTCGTGCATTAATTTCCTCAGAAATTAGACAATAGATGCCTATTCTGCAGTGAATTTATAAATCCCCGCCAGGCCGCGCTCAGTGCGGGTGAGGGGATCAGGAGAGCGTCACATTGATGATGGTGGAAGGCCAAATGACTGACACCCTTGCTCGTCTGATCCAACTGATGAAAACTCGCCGAAGCCGATGACTGCACGAATCACGCCGTGCTATAGCCTGGATGCCAGTTTTGGACTGTAATCTCAGATGAAATTAGGACACAAAGACTTTCTCAACTGATGTGCCTAACTACCCCTTCGTAGAAGGCAAGGAAGGACAAAGAGGAAATTCTGACAATGAAATCTTTCGGATTGTTCTTTGGTGGGATATCAAAATTGCGCAAATAGCGTCGCGTTTACAGGGTAGACTATCACATATTTGCTTGCTGTTGATAGAGTGTACTACTAGGGGGAGCTTACCAGTGACTGGCATGATTTATGAACAGGAGCCCCTGGAGCGCCCAGAAAGACGTTGTAGCGCCGGACAACTGACATTTACACCAAGTACCCGGCTGTGTAAAGCCGTCATTCATCTTTGACATCCACCCGTTGACCAGCCCTCCCCCCTTTGGCTTCATAATGCCCGACTGGGCGCCCAGCAACACCCCGGTGCGTGCTTCGACTTGTTGTCAGCGAAACCAAATGAAGGTATCTGGCGTATGTTCTTAGCCCCAGGGAATTCGCCCGTGCAGCCTTAATCGACCAGGGGGCAGGGAGCCGGAGTGTTCCATCATGTACGGCACCCTTTTTTATGGATGTGCAGCACAGTAACGCATGCAATACCCCGGTCTGGAGAACCGCAACTCCTCCTGTAGACTGTTGAAGAGGACTGAAACGTAAACAGGCATGGGTGAATTCGTTCTCTCCTCTGAGTCAGCAGTCGTCCTGCTAAGACTTCGCTGCGTATATCGCCTCTAAACCGCTCGGAACCCCAGTCGTGTGTCCTTTGTTATAAAAAACCCAAGACACACTTCAACGAAGGACGTGTTTATATTCTGGTCAGTACTCTCCGAGAGTCTCCAAGCGGCAGATTATCCCTTGTTTGAAATGTGAGCCCTAAACGTGGTTTTTTTAAAATGGGGAGGCCGAAAACTCGAGCCTGGCCTCTGGTGTGTTAAACAATCGTAGTCATCAGCACAGCAGATGTTAGCCTCTTTCTCATGTGAAAAAGAACAGGTCAGGGAAGATACAGTGAGTGACCTATCTCATGAAATGTTGGCTGAAATTCTGAAATGCGTTTTCGATTAGGAAGGATTACTTGGTCGCAGTTTTGCTACTGATTATCTTAAGGCATACTCTTATAACATTTTGGAATTGGCAGGATGTCGGCTTTTAAATGCACTTCTTTTCAATCTCCTGTAGAAAGCGTGCTCGGTAAAAAAATGACTACTTAAGTAGCATGCATTTTTCCCACTGATTTTCGATGGTCTTGGAAATTCAAATATATTTTATAGAAACCACAAACGAAAATATGCTTTCTTTTAGTCAATCAATAGAAAATCACGTTTTCGTTATATTTTATACTTAAGGAAGGAGTATAATTAAGTTTTGAAAAAGTTTCTAATTATGAGACTTTTTAAGACCGCGATATGTCCATTCACATAGCATCGAACCTGGACGTTTACCATTGCTTCTCATGAAATGTACAACATGGTCCGCATCCATTGCAAAATTTTATGGACCCTGTATGATATCTCTTTAATGACATAGAAAAATATGGGATTTTCTTTACGCGGAACGCATGCACCTTGAAGAGTGTAATCACTAAGCGTGAATGCAACGAATGATCAGGCTCCAAATTTTTCGGCAATTAGAAAACTTTTTCAAAACCTAATTATACTCCTTCCTTAAGCATAAAGTATAAAGAAGACGTGATTCTCTATTGATTGACTAAAAGAAAGCATATTTTTGTTTGTGGTTTCTATAAAATATATTTGAATTTCCAAGACCATCGAAAATCAGTGGGAAAAATGCATGCTACTTAAGTACTCATTTTTTACCGAGCACGCTTTCTACAGGAGATTAAAAAGAAGTGCATTTAAAAGCCGACATCCTGCCAATGCCAAAATGTTATAAGAGTATGCCTTAAGATAATCAGTAGCAAAACTGCGACCAAGTAATCCTTCCTAATCGAAAACGCATTTCAGAATTTCAGCCAACATTTCATGAGATAGGTCACGCACTGTAGGTGGGGAGGAGTTTGAAGAGGACAGTAAATGCTCCATACAGGATGCCAACCGCCACGTCAGCGCAGACAGTTTTTTTTTAGATAAATCTGCCAACGCCTCTGAATTCTCCAACTTCATTGTTTAGGCTGAATAAAGGAGGAGAAAGCAGTCAGGCTATGCAGCCCGATCGTTTTGCGCAAAAACAGATCCTAGCAGATCCAACAATCGTCAAGATCCAAAACAGATCAATTCGACGCGAAAATCAGTTTCTGGCTGAGATGGAGTCTAGTCTGGGTGCGCACCGCCTAATTCTTGTTAAGTAGGAGACACGATCGCTAGAATAGGAGCTTTATTCGCCTGACGTTTCGGATAGCTGCTCGAACCCATCATCAGAGACGAAAGCAGATACGGGTGGTCCATGCACAGGGGGCTACGGTATTTATAGGATGAATTCACCATGCTGCTATCTACATATGAAAATGCACGGCTCTCCCCCTCATCAGGGATCGTTGCACACGACGTGATGGCCGACATTCACGTCGTTAATTGCTGCAATTTCATCGCGTGTGTTGGATTTTGGTGTGGTGATTGCTCTACCATTTGACATCAACCCTGGCGTTGGGAAGTGTTCACCTGTGCGTTCCCCGCGTGGCTAATTACTCCGCGTAGGCGAAGTCTCATCACTGACTTGCTAATACCGTCAAATGGCCGTTCATGAAACGTCGTGTATCTGCATTTACGAATGTGGCTTGTAAAGTTAACAATATTGCTTAAATTAACTGCTTAATTTTATGAACCTCATATGGTCTCTTCTTAACACCGTAGAGAAATGCATGGTTTTCCGTACACGGAAAATATACAGCTTGTAGTTTTGAAACCCTGAATGCAAGTGTAGCAGCAGGTCGGGTTCAAAATTATTCGGGAATTAGAAAAGTTTTTTTGGAAACCGAATTATACTCTTCTTTTGAGTATGAAATTGGAAGAAGACGTGATTTCTGACCGAATAAGTAAAAGAATGAATATTTTATGCATGTTTTCCATGAAATATAATTGAATTTTCAAGGGTATCGAAAATCAATGAGAAAATTGCATGCTACATAAGCAGTCATTTTTTGCAAAGTATAGATCTTGCATGCAGCTGAAAATAAGTTCTTTCGAAAGCCGACACCCTGAGGTAACTGGATCATTATAGATTTATGCTGCATCATGATTAGTTTTACAACACTACTTAATTTATCTTTTCGAAACGAGAACGCATTTCGAAATTTTGGTTAACATTTCATGAGTTAGCACATCTACTGTACTTGCATCTGCGCTTGTGGCAATGTTCGATGAACGTACGTGCGCTATGCCAACGCGCAGACTGATATACGAAACAAGAACTCCGCTACGAGGACTCCTGTACCGATCACATGCTAGCACATTTGTCGGTCACCGACGCTAGCATCGTGCTGTCATCATTTTCCCAAATGTAACCTAGATTTAGAGCAATGCTACATACAGTAGGTGGGCTAACTCATGAAATGTCAACCGGAATTCCGGAATGCGTTTTCGTTTCGGAAAGATTAATTGAATTGGATTGTAAAACTAATCATCATGAAGGATAATTCTATAATAAATCAGTTACCTAGGGATGCTGGCTTTCGAACGAACCTCTTTCCGCTTGCATGTAAAAACTGCACTCTGTAAAAAATGTCTACTTAATTAGCATGCATTGATTTTTGATATGCATAAAAATTCCATTATATTTCATGAAAAGCACGCATAAAGGCATTCATCCTCTTGCTCATTTGGTAGCGAATGACGTCTCCTTTCACTTTTATACTCGACAGAAGGGTGTAATTCTGTTTTTAAAAGTTTATAATTGTGGGATTTTTTAATACCGTTAAATGGCCCTTCATAAAACGTCATGTCTCTGCATTTACCAATTTGGCTTGTAAAGTTAAGAATGTGGCGTAAATCCACTGCTTCATTTTATGAACCTCATATGACCTCATCTAAATACGGTAGGGAAATGTATGGGTTTCCGTACGCGGAAGTTATACGGCTTTAGTGTCGAAACCCTGAATGCAAGTGTAACGGTAGGTCGGGTTGAAAATTATTCGGGAATTGGAATAGTTTTATTAGACAGAATTAAACCCTTCCATCGAGTATAAAATTTAAAGAACACTTAATTTTCTACTGAATGAACAAAAGAATGAATATTTTTATGCATGTTTTCCATGAAATATAATCGAATCTTTAAGCGCATCGGACATCAAGTAAAAAATGCATGCTGTTTAAGTACTTAAGTAGTCATTACGGAGTATGGTGTTTGGATGCTGCCGGAAAGAAGTTCCTTCAAAAGCCGGCGTCCTGGGTTAACTGAATTATTATAGAATTGTGCTGCACGATAATTGGCTTTACAACCTTACTTAATTAATCTTTTCGAAACGGAAACGCATTCCGGAATTTCGGTTGACATTTCATGAGTTAACCCACCTATTGTGCGTGTTTACTGTTTTAGCAGCAACTTGTAGAGCTATGCAATCCACTATCCAATATATCACTAAATGATACATCGTGTTAAAATGTTTCTGGCACAAACATTGCATTTGCGGTGATTTGCGTCCAAAGTGCAAATGTGTGCAGAAAAGGAAAAGAACAATAAGTCGCAGTTACTTTGGGAGAAAAGAGTTAAGACTGACTTGATGTGTTCTCTTCATAGGATTCGTCTGTGCATATGTCCTTTGTCAAATGTTGCCCTTGTGGACATACTGCATTGAATAGTGTTGCAGTACGTTTACTGGCATCATAATTAATTAATTTTCATTTTTTCAGATGTGTAGCTGCTAAGCAGCGAAAGTGTGTACTCAGAGCGCTATAGTAATCAGGCCAAATTCCCTTTTGTAGGGAAAGACAGAACTCATCAGATTGAGGGATTGATTGTGTACGAAAACCTGAGTTACTCTCTCAGGCGACAGCGGTTGCTAGCAAAGCCTGGGCTGGTGTTGACTGCGTGCAGTCATGCTTGGGTGTCCATGAGACAGTGATGGCAGCTCCCCTTGCAGGTTTGTGGTGGGGGCTTCAAGGAGTGTAAGCGTCTGCTATGCCATGATCAGCAAACCATGACTCCCGTGGCCTGGTATGTTCTGACAGTTCTCTGGCACCTAACTTCCTGCCGGTGGATCCCCGTGCGTTCTCATTGGGTGCACAGGTCGTGAGCACGGCTGTCCAACCATCCTCATCGTCTTCCTGACCCGTCCTGGTGTTGTAATTGTTGGTTAAAATGCTGCTCAAGTGTGTGTTGTGGACCAGGGTGTGTGGTGGTATGCCTAGTTGCGGGTCTGGCCGTGCCAGTCAACTGCGCTCTCCCTCACCTCCGGTCTTCTTGACTGCCCCTTGACATCGGGCTCAGATGAGGAGGAGGAGGAGGAGGAGGAGGAGGACGACGACGACGACGACGACGACGACGAAGAAGAAGAAGAAGAAGAAGAAGAAGAAGAAGAAGAAGAAGAAGAAGAAGAAGAAGAAGAAGGAGAAGGAGGAGGAGGAGGAGGAGGAGGAGGAGAGAGTGTCGTAGATGCTGTGCAAGCCTACTACTGTTTACCTCTTGTGTAGTGTCAACAGAAAACCATGTTGTTTGCCAGCTGGTAATCGTTTCACGAAAGTCTTTGACTGTTACCGATGACAGCGAGCGTCCTGCAACTATTCCGTGGGCGTAATTTACTAACATTTTACAGGAAACGTATTTCGGAGCCTTTATTACTTTCATGTTGATCGTCTTGACTAGGAAGACATAAACGCCAATGAAGTGTTTTTGAACGTCAGTAAGCGAAGACTTGCGATGCAGTTGTTTAAAAGAAGCAGCATTTGTCTGGTTCAAAATTGATTAGTCGTCCTGTAATATACTGGAATTCCTTACCGTGTTCTTACTAGTATAGTGTAAAAAGAATTATCGAAGCACTTGAATCCCTACAAAGCACCGAGCTTTACACCTTTGCCGGCAGCCAACAACTTTCGTTTGCCGTTTCCGGACATCCGACGATAATGTGGCCGTCATTGCCGACAGTGTACAAAGTGTGTTTTACGGCAGGATGGGATCAGGGACAGTGATTTGCGCATGAAGCAGCCCATAGTGATAAAAAAACTTGCGTAGCATCTATTTTGCTCTCTCCTGTTCCCCACCTGGATCCAGTGTCAAGACAACGAAGAAGACTGGAGGTGCGAGAAGGCGCAGGCGTATGGCACGGTAGGTCGTAGGGGTGTCCAGTTGTGGATCCACGTGAAGGTCGTAGTAAGTCGTTCACTTGCTTGCCGGTGTTGATTACGCCCAACGTTCATCGGCTGGCACCCAACCCTCAAATGTGGCCCCCGAAGCCGGGTCCTGCCTAGCGGCCACACCCCAGCAACCACCTCGACCGGCGGGCTAAACCACGTGTGTGTATTCCCCACACGGTAATCCCACTCCCCTCCCTCTTTCTTCCACCTTCCCCACTTCCCTTCTTCATTTTCCGCTTCCTATTCCTTCCGCCCTCCTCCCGTCCCCTTCTCTTCTCCCCTCTCCATCCTTTCTCTTATCCTCTGCCCTTTCTCCTCTTCTTCTCCCTTCTCCTCCTCCCCTCCTGCTCTACTCTCCACTCATCTCTTCTCTCCCACGGCCGACCAGTCCTACGGGGGACGACATGCAATCATGTAGGCGGCTCAGACCATTGGTCGTTTTCCCACCAAACCCAGTGACCCATAGCGGAGAGCGGTGTCCGTTGGGTGCGACAGAGTAGCCCTATTTATGGAGAGCACTGCTTTTCCAGCGAGGGGATGGAAACAAGCAAAGCTGAGTTCATGACATTTGCGCGCAGACCGTGACTTGCAGACTGCTACACATTCAGTCGAAGCCATTTAAACAGAAACAGCGTTCGCTCTCTCTCTCTCTTTTCCTCCTCCACATCCCCGCAGCCCCACCCCACGGGCTGCTAGGGTGAGTCTGCTCATTTTGGTAGCTTGGAATTTTTGTTTTATTTTAGACAATCCCGGGAGCAACCGACCGGAAGGAAGGACTGCGCCAGTCACTCGGAGGCTAGTGCACTAAAAGGTAGACATCGCTGAATTCAGCGAGACGCGGTTCACCGAACAAGGTCAACTGGAGGAGGTGGGTTCCGGTTAAACCTCCTTCTGGAGCGGTCGCCCCAGGACAGTGCGACGAGACTTGGGCGTCGCCTTTTCCATCCGGAACGACATCGTGGGACAACTGCGCTGTCTGCTGCAGGGCATCAACAACCGACTGGTGAGCCTGCACCCGCCTCTCCGAAAGGCAAATTCGTCACCATCATCAGCGCCTACGCCCCAACAATGACAGGCTCAGACGAAGCGAAGACAAAGTTCTACGATGACTTGAACACGTTTCCGGCGTCTGTGTCGAAGGCAGATAAGTAGATTGTCCTTGGTGACTTCAACGCTTGCGTCGGCAAGGATCATGCTGTCTGATGAGAAGTGTTAAGTCCTTGCGGAATAGCCGTCTGCAATGACAATGGCTTCCACCTCCTCCTCCTCCTGCGAACCTGCGCTGCAAACCGCCTGCTGCTGGCCAACATCCTCTTCCGCCTGCCGATGCGGAAGAAGGCCACCTGGATAGACCCCCGGTCGCGTTGTTGGCTGCTGCTGGACTACGTTCTCATCCGATAGCGCGATCTATAGGATGTGCTAGTGGCCAAGGTGATCTGTGATGCCGATGGTTGGATGGACCGCCGCCTCGTCCTCTCCAAGATGAGGCTCCGTCCGCATCCCCGCAGCAGCCAATAAAGTAAGCGACTTCAAGGTAAACTGAATACTGCTTTGTTGTATTTATCTGTTCACCGTTTGCGCTACACCAATCAACTGACCCTGCGGTCGAAAAACCTGCTAGCCGCAGATAAAAACGTCTCCCTGAAGACCCGATGGTGCGACTGCGGGACGCCGTTCACTTAACCGCCCTGGCTGTCCTCGGCTGAGTACGTCACCAGAACTAGGATTGGTTCGACGACAGTGACGCAGCCATCAGTAACCTGCTGGCCGAGAAGAACAGGCTACATAGAGCCTACCTCGAACGCCCAACCGATACGAACAACGAGGTCTCCTGCCAATGTCGCCGCCTTGCACAGCAACGGCTGTGAGAGATGCAGGACTACTGAATGGCCCTCAAGGCCAAGGATATCCAGGCATACCTCGGCAGCAACGAATCGAAGAAGCTCTGCCCTGCGATCAGGGCGATCTACGGTCCTCGACCAAAGGAGCTGCACTGCTTCTCAGCTCCGATGGATCAACACTGGTGACGGAGAAGTCACCGATTCTGGTACGCTGGGCGGAACACTTCAGAAGCTTCCTCAACTGTCCTTCCACAATCTCCGACACCGCCAACGACCGGCTCCCTCAAGTGGAAATCGCTGTCGACTTGGGCCTCCTGTCCTCCCTTTCGGAAACCATTCGTACCGCGCAACAACTCTTCAACGGAAAAGCAACAGGCTCCGACATAATCCCAGTCGAAATCTAAAAGTACAGCGACCACCGCCTGATGGACCAAGGCACGTCGCTATTTCAGGAGATGTGACGCTGTGGACAAGTTCCTTAGGCCTTCAAGGACGCAAACACTGTTCACCTCTACAAGCGCAAATGCGACCGACAAGTCTGCGACAGTCACAGAGGCCTCCCACTACTCAACATCGCCGGGTAGGTCTTCGTCCGCATCCTTCTCAACAGCCTACAGCCTTAATCATCAAGAGAAAGAACTTCTGCCCGAAAGCCAATGTGGCTTCCAAAGACACCGGGGCACTATTGATATGGTGTTTCCCGGTCGACAGATATAGACGTGCCAGGATTTGCGACGGTGAATCGCAAGGGTCTGTAGAAAGTCATGCAGAAATGTGACTGTCCTGAACGGTTCACGCACATGGTACATCAGCCCCACGATTGGATGATGGCACGCGTCAAGGTCAACCGCGAAATCTTCGAGGCATTCGCAGTGACCAATTGAGTAAAGCAGGGATGGGTACTCGCTCCCACCCTCTTCAGTCTCATATTCTCCGTCATGATGGCGGACGCCTGCATTGATTGGCGTCCCGGGATCCGCATCCTCCACACCTTCTCAAGAGCTGGCGAATGCAGTCCCTGACACGTCTATCTATGATCCGCTCTTCGCTGACAACTGCGCACTCAACAGTAGGACCGAAGAAGACATACAACGGAGCATGGACCTCCTCGCAGCCGGGTGCGCCAACTTCGGTCTGACTATCAGCACGCACAAAACGATAGTCATGCATTAATAGTCATTGGACGCTGAATACAGCGTCCGTCGCATCCGCTTCTGCGGCAATGAACTGAAGCCCGTGGATCACTTAAAAGACCTGAACAGAAAAATTTCTCGCTGTATCAGAATCAACGACGAAGTGGCCCACCGGATCTCCAAGGCCACCCAAGCCCTCGGCCGGTTGCAGAACTCCGAGGGTGGTCACCATGGCCTTCAAATGAACACCATGTCGAAGAAGTGCAAGGCTGTTGTCCTGATGACATTATACGGAGCAGAGGGCTGGACCGTCCATTCCAGTTATGTCACAAAGCTCGATCACTTCCATCCGAGCTGCGTTCGCAGAATACTAAAGCTGAGATGGCAAGACATGGTCCCTGACAAGGAAGTTCTAGAACGAACCGAAATCCTCACCATCCACGTCATGCTGCGGCAATTGCAATTACGTTGCAGCGGCCATCTCGTGCGGGTGGAAGACACACGACTACCGAAACAACTCTTCCCTGTGATGCCGCCGACCGGGAGGACCAAAACAAAGCTATAAGGACACTTTGAAGAATGCTCTTTAGCAAATTTGAAGAAGGAGACACGATCGCCGGGTCTTCTTCTTCAAGACTACTTCCTGGGACTCGTCTCTTCGCTTCTTTAGCAATTGCATATCAGTCCAGAGACCTGGGAAGACTTAGCCCAGAACAGACCGGCCTGGAGAGGAGAAGTGAAGACCGGCGCTGCCATCTACGAAGCAAATCGAATCGCTGCCACCAAAGCCAAAAGAGGTGCCCGCAAGTCTCAGGCGCCACCGATCCGCAGCGCCACCACCCAACGTACCCGCGTTGTCAACGAACATTTCGCGCGCTGATTGGCCTCGTCGGTCACCTTCGGACCCAATGCATCAACCGCTCCATGACCACAATTGCGCTGCCCCCACGATCGCACCTGCTCCAGCCTCCATACTGGCGCCCACACTCTCCATCGTTGCTTCGAATCTCCGTGTCGCACTGCCGTCGGCCTCTGCCACCTCAACTAGCTTTGCCACAACTGTCGCACCGACGTCGAACACACTTACATCTGCTACCACAGCCAACAATCAAAACGCCCCTGACGTCCCGTCAACCCCCTACACATTCACCATTGCCATCTCCACCCCCCAACAATGTGGATTCAGTCCCAGCCCGCCACCGAACATTCGCCCCACACATCGATCTGGTCGGTCACGTGCAAATCCATCTCGCGGAGACTGGTGAACTAGTGTCTGGAGTACTAACATACACCAGACACATCCACCTCGACTGCGTGATTTGCCCTTGCACATTCAGTCATCACGTGGGTCTACTCAAGGTCACATGCTCATTCACGGTAAATCGCCGCAGACACGACGTCGCCACAAATGCGGCTACTCTGAAACTATCACGGTGCGCCAAGCGCCCTGGCTTGGAAGGTTGCCAACTCACGCTCCAAGTCGGTTCTCGCAATCAGCTCAGTTTCTGTTTGGGTGCTGGTTTCATGATGTGTCTTCATTTGGATGTGAAGTAATTAATATATTTGTACGGATAAATATATAGTTATTATTCAGAATTCCAAATCTTTGCCAGTTTTTCCAGGTATCTGTTTCTGTTTGGGTGTTGGGAGGCTGACCGGTGGACTGTCAAGCTGCAATGGTCCTTCTCAACATGACCTCTGGCATCCTCACGCGCTTGAGAAGTGTGCGAATTTTATGGGTAGCGCCTCCCAGTCGATGACTTTTGGTTTCCCAGCTTTTGAAGAGTGATAACCCAGGCTATGTGCAAGGTCGCGTGTCACGCTTCTGAGCCCTAAGTTCTGTTTGTGTCTGCTATGCCATGATCAGCAAACCATGACTCCCGTGGCCTGGTGTGTGCTGACAGTTCTCTGACACCTGATTCCCCGCCGGTAGATGCATATTCGCTCTCACTGGGTACACAGGTCGTGAGCATGGCTGTCCAGTCATCCTAGTCGTGGTTACCCACACTCGTCCATTGACGCACAACCATTTTATGAGAAGCCAAAACCGGGACTCATCAAATAGGAACTTTCTTAGCACCTGGGTTATTCTCGTCTCCTTCCTCTCCTCTGGTGTCCTTCGAGTAACGACAGCTCCACGCATAGTTTGACCGACGATAATATCCCATTTTCAATTATGCCTCAAAAATCGACAGAGCCCTTGCTGCACTAAACCAAAATACCGATACATTGGTTCGTGGTACGGACTTACCCGGCTGTATTTGATACGCGTAGACGGATGCTACGAGGCCACACCAGTTACTGCGTCTATTCGCATTAACTTTCGGCAGGTCACTAGCGCAAGAAGGATATTAGAGGGGTTGAGACTGATTCCAGAAAGTTCTTCCTCACGACAAACTGAGGTTTTCCTCATTACAATAGATGCGACACGCCCAACTCAGCCTCAACACGCTAGAGGCCACGACTTTAAAAGCTGTCCACTGATGAGATAGCTCGGCCCTCCTCTGAAAGGAGGGTTGGACCCCAGTGACTTCCTAGTCGTTGTCTAGTGCCGTCCATGTTGGCAGAACCGTCACGCCTAGCCCTACTTGCTTCGGACAAGCCACTTGTATATGAAGGAGGGGTGGAAAAGTCAGATTGATCCAGCTGAAATCCAACGTAGGAGTCTCTACTGTAAGCACCTACATACCCTTTGAGACGATCATCACGCGCCTGACACTGCGGATAACAGCTCTGACCTTCTCAGAGCTGTGGATCAGGTTATAATGGTTCAATCCTAATGTGTGTCCCTAATGACGCTAACCTACGTAATATCCGAGACTGCCTCATCGATTCCCGGAGTTTGGGATCAGGTTGTGTGCGGCACGCGCAGACGCATTATGCAGCATAGTCAACCATTAAGCTCACCGTCCTGTCATTCAAAAGCGGTGGGTGTGGGAGGAGAGAGATAGGCGAAGTTAAAATTTTCTCCAGTTCGCAGAAAATCGCGTATAAGTCACGACTGCACCCGTGTTGTGAAGCCGTGTTGGAGCTCATAGCCTGTGACAATAAAGATATCGACTCGTCTGTTCTACCCCCAACTAAAGACGACCTTGCCGCCTGCTACGGCCAAAAGACACTTCGGACCCTTCCAGGAGGGTTGTGGTTTCACCGCCTTCACGAATCCCCAGTTCCTAGCCTTCGTCCAGCCGTTCCATTCAGACTGGTTAGGTCAGCGACAGTTCGACCGTCGCGAACGATGACGTTCATTACGTATTCTGCGGAACGGTTGCAGCACCGATGGTTTTCGCGTTCACAAGTTTCTTTGTAGGGAAGACTTGCGCAGCATCCACCACACTCTCTCTCACCAAGCTCCAAAACAGGATAATTTCAGGACGAACGGAAGTGAGTTCAGATGCAGTAGCCAACATAGTTAAGGAGAAGAAATTGTCTTCACAACGTGTACCAGGCTCTCATTGTAATGGCAGGGATCTAAAGAGCGTCAGAGTGCCAAAAGCGCCATTGAGTCAGTGGGCATAAATATCACCCCTCCCGTCAGTCCTTCTACACACAGGACTGACAACAAGAACCAGTTATTTCGTAATATGACAGTCTTCCAAGTCGCAACTCTAAGCGTGTCAAAGTTGTGTAATTGTTTATCATATTGACACCACGGGCACTGGCTAAAAGCCCAAACACACGTGTTTTAAATTTCGGGGAAGGCTCTGGAACCCACTGATGAGCCGAATCTCTCGCAGATGCGTCAGGCAGCCGCTCACGATCGGCGAAACACGCTTGTCTGGGCTTTTACCTAGTACCTGTGTTGTCAGTACGGTAAATAATTACACACTTCTATACTACTGGCTGCTTGTTGGCGGTTTGTGAATATTACGCGGATATTTCGCAGTAGCTGATGGATTTCGGCTCAAATACTCTTATCAAACTTCGGATCACGCCTGAAAAACTCTGTTCCGAAGGATTTACTCTATGTTCGTGCATTGACTTCCTCAGGGTTTAAACAAGGCAACGTGTCAGAGTTATTATGCTGCGTATAATGCGTTGATGTACTGTGAGGACATCATTTCCGATATCGGTCTCACTTTCTTTTCCCTCTCTATGTCTGAATCGTCTGTCCAATCTTTTGTAGCGACTGGTGATAGGATTGGGCGCAAGTTCCTCACCTCTCACTTCGCTCAAAACATGCTGCGTTGTGGATATCATGCTTACTTTTCCGATCGATTTTACTCATGCCGTTAGACCTACTGTTACGCTAAGACGTCATTCATCGCCAT